GGTCCTGGGGGGCACGTGACCCCCAATTTTTGAGATTTTTTTTTTTTTTTTTATAAAGTCATGTTTGGTATCGATTGGAATCTAAATTTTAATCTAAATCAAAGTTAACAATTAATTTTAATAACATATTTTATGAGATCCATAACTGTTTAACTTTTATCAAAATTTACTAAAAATTTGATTTTAATCTCCACCAAATAGAGGTAAAATCACAATAAATTTGAATTTCAATAACATGTTAATTTTAAAAATTCTCCAACGATCGTACGCTAATCGAATCTACAAATTGCTTATGTCATCTCAAAACTTATTTCGAGAACGACATCATGGGCATATCGAATAGTCCAAATAGATATCGAAAATAGTTAAAAATACGTTAAACGTGAGTCTTAAAAAAAGAAACTAACTCGCATTTTTTAAAAAAAAAAATTCAATTATTTCATTAACATTTATTATTTTTGCGATACAAATTTTTCAATATAATTTNTTTATTATTTTTGCGATACAAATTTTTCAATATAATTTTAATCATTTTATTAGGAAATTTTATATGAAATATAACAACAAAAAATTTCGTAATTTTATATCCGAAAAAGTTATATTCCATGTAAATTTTTGGATGCAAAATTACACGGGGTATGATTTTTTTGGACGTAAATTTTCGATTGTAAAATTCCTTCCAACTTCTTTACAAGTTCGATTGTGCCTTCCTAACTTTAAAGCTCTGCGTCAACCCATGTTGCTACATGCACATAAACGTTTACATAAATGATTACATAATGTCACATGACACTCTACCATTTGTCAGTTTAAACCCTAGTTAACTTTTTCTTCCAATCTTTTCCCTTTATATCATTTTATGTAATCCCTTATATACTATTTTTATGTACAAGTAGCATATTCCTTCATTTAATTCCTACTTTATTCATTGCCTCCAAAGTCCAAACATTTGGGGTATTTTAAATTTATGTTGAAGAAGAAAAGTATTTTATTACCACATAAACTTCATTATTTTTAAAACACTTTTTCCCTCATTGATTCAAGCCATAATTTTTTTTAGGCCAATATGACTACTACTAAAAAGGAGTACTTTTTAATTCGTTTTGTAATTTTATTTCTGTATTAACAAGAAAATAAATATAGGTGTTAAATTTTAAATCGTAAAACAAACATTAACCATATGAACCCTAAAATTGTACTTGCATGTACAATGAACATTTTACTCAACCTGGCACCTATTTAAGGTTGATTTTAACTATAAATAATAATAAAAAGAAAAATATCCTATAATTATGTCCAAAGGGAATATGCATCGGCCAATTCGATCTAGATATCTTAAGAACGGACCCTAACTAATTCTCATCAAAAATTGTAAAAGGTTCTATTTGGAAAAGAAAGGAATCGGACCAGATCTTAATCATTTGCTTCTAGTCCACTCCGATCAGATTCTTTTATGCTTCAGAGTATATTATAAATTGTAATGATTGTGCAAGTCTTATTTCACCTAGAGATGACAATTTTCCCCGTCCCGTTCCCTCAGGTCCCCACCCAAAATGGGGCAAAAAAATTAGCCCCGAACGGGTTGGCGGGGCGGGGCGGCGATGCCCCGCCCCGCCCCGTGAACAATTAAAAAAGAATTGTTTTGGATAATTTTTTGTTTCGAGTGCTTGATTTAGATATTGTTTGGTGGGGATTAAAATTAGATTTTTAGTAGATTGTGATAAAAAATTTTGAAATGTGTGGTTGAAAAATTGTGGGACCCATGAAAGATGTGGTTAATATTCATTGTTTGACTTTAACTTGAAATAAAAGCATATTTTAATCCGGACCAAATGGGAGCTTATTATTTAGTTGAGAAGTTAATATAAAAACATTTTTAGAAACGAATCATATGTAAATGGAACCGAGAATTAGACTAGATTCAATCTGGTCGTGATTTTGGTCGGGTGATTCCAAATAAAATGATCACCACCACCCAATGAGCATTACTCTTTTAAATACACCATTCTTTT